TCGCAGGCTTCTTTGGCCGTGGCGGAGGACTCCTCATCCTTCAAGCGAGTGGCTTCGTGTTGGAGGCGGCTGAAGTTGATGGCTACTTCGAGCTGGAGCCACCCGCGCGCCAAGCGCAGATGCTCGACCTCGAGGTGCGAGTCGACGTTGTAGAGCTCTGCCTCAAGCCGGTCCAATGCACCCTCGTGTCCTGAAGAAGGCCATGCCGGACAGCGCTATGACCGCGCGCGAGCTCCAACACTCGGCCAGGACCTTGTTCCACGCTCCCGGCCGTGACAGAGGCCCGGGAAGGCCCGGCCGCGCTGGGCGGGGATCCGAGGCCAGCCGACCCAACGCCCACTTCCCGGGCCTGAAGCACGGGCCTGCGCGAGCCAGATGTCAGGCCACCCATTGGCTCGCTGCGGACCCGAGTGCCGCCGAGGGATAGTGGGATAAACGGTGGCACCACCCATGCAAGCCTGATGTCGCCCCCGTCAAAGGACGTCGGGGCCCCGGGGTCGAGGACCGCCAGTGGTCGCCTTGGGAGGAGCGCAACTTCTCTGGTGTGCGTAAGCTCAGCCGCCGGGCTCGCAGGGGGGCGCGGCTGTTGAGCACCTCGAAGCCCCCAGAATGGACGACGGGACCATCCTCGCCCCCTTCGCCTAGAGGAAACCAGAGAAACAAGGGCTCAGGAAGGCTTGTCGAGCGAAGGTCGGGGAGACTAGAGTACTTACTCATAAGTGGGGACCCATTTCCTTCTCTTCAAGGCCCGCAGGGGCGAGCCGACACTGCCCTCAGGCCGCCTCTTCCTCGAAGGGACACATACCCTAGGGGTTGGTGCCGTAGGGTATACCTGGCCACCCCGTGCGCCCGCGGTGATGGCCACATCCCCAGGCGGAGGACCGCCACCACTGTCTAGGGACGAGTCGGCTCACGATAGACGGTTCGGCATGCCCCCTGGTCGCCCCCAGGAACACCTCACCCCTGAGGCCCTCGGGGGCTGGAACCACCAGGAAGGGGTTGTCACGAAGCCCCTCACGGCCCTCGGGAGGCAACCCCCATTCATTGAAGCAAGGCATCCCCCTGGCGAAGTCCCTCCCGTTCGTGTAGTTGTACAGGGGGAGTCCCCCATCAGGAAGTGCGCTGGCTCCCCACCGGTCAGGAGGCGGAGTATCCCATTCAGCACGCTAGGAGGCAGGGAGGTCTCCTGGAGCCTCATGGGGTCTTCGCGGCTGGTGAAGGCCCACATCAGGCGAGAATGACGTTGGAGTGGGGCGATCCGCCATTGGACGAACTCCCTCACCACCATCGCCACCGTCACGCTCGCCGCTCTCAAGTCAGCCAGCCTCGCGGAGACCCGCGTGAGCCACGGATCGACAAGCCTATCGTGCGTCCATCTAAAGCTCAGCATCGTCGGGGACGATGGGGTTTGGAGCAGGGGGCTATACTAGGACGCATGGACATACACCCACTGCCTCCGGAAGCCCTCTGAAGCGACATGCAGCAGAAGCATTGCTCACCGGCAGTCAGCCGCAGGGAGAAGAAGTGGTGGAGCAATGCCCCCGAGGGGGCAATGCCTACGAAAGCCTCGCACAAGAACGCGAATGCATAAAGGAGGTGATGGATTCCGGGTCAAAATGTAGCACGTGGACCTGGTAGTGCGATAGCACAACATTGAAGAAGTCTGAAAACGGGGGCAGTAAGCTGGAGGAGAAGCCATGAAGGAGGGCAATGGTGGTCACTTCCAATTCGGTGGTAGACCGTGAAGCCGGCCAGATCTTCATCGCCTTCCACTCGTTGGAATCGGTCACGGTCATCGGGAAGACCTTGTCCAGCCCCTCGCGGTTGAGCGCGGTGAATCGACCAAGGGCGGGGGCCGGCCCCGTCTGGCGGACCACCGCCATCGTGGCCTTGTGTCCTCCCACTCCGACGGGGTATGACGACACAAGATCTAGGTGGCGAGCCACGAACTTGTGTGAGAAGAAAGGGGTGTAAGGCGAGCGCGTAGTGGAGTAATGATGGCCCCGCCACACGCGCCAGACTTATGTCAGTCTGGGCAGTTGCCGAGGCAACATGAGGGAAGTGGGGCGTCCACGCCCTATCGAGCACCATGCGTCAAGCCTGGCGCACATGCGATTGGGGCCCGCGTCGCTTTGCCATCCCCTCGCCGCCTTCGCCTCGAAGATAGGCCGAGCGCGCCTCAGGCCCGGGGGCTACTTGTTTGACCATTCGACCTTGGGCCCTGGTCGCTCGTGCCTGACGACATCGGATACCTTGCCTACTTCACCAGGGTCGTCGAGCGGCTTGAAGGGAGCGCAGAGAATGTGCGCAGGCTCATGGACGAGGAAAGCCGCGACCTCCTCGCGTAGGCGTTGACGCGTGTTTTCAGCCATCTTCTTCGCGCCGATCCCGATTTCGACTTCGAGGCCATGATCGACCCCGTCCCTAGGATAATTTTTTATGCCCTGGGGGAGTAGGTGGAAGATCACGTAGATTATCTGGTCACACACTTCGCCCCGACAACCACGAACACCAGCACGGAGCCGAGGAGCACGAGGCTGCCACCAGTGATGATGATGACGTCTTTCTTCCGTTTTCTTACTAACATTTTGAGTGTAACCCTGTGGGGATGTAATGGGTACTTGGTGGAAACTCCTTAACAATGCATGAAGTAGCACTGGACCCCCTTAGGCTGCCTTTATTTTTGCTTGTTCCGCACCCACAGCCCCTGAGCGAGGGGCGATCATCGCTGGTATGCTGGGTCATGATGCCCAGTCAAGGCCAGGAGATGAGTGCTCCTGAGGTCAAGGGCCGAGGGCAACACGTGCCTGCTGGCTCACTTAAGAGCGTCGCACTAGGATTCAGGCACCAAAGTCTTGGTGAGGTGTGTGTAGGGGTGGCCCGAACGCAGGCATCAACCGCGCCAAATGTCGGAATCGGGGCTTCGCGGACCCAAACAAGGTTCGAACTCTTGGGGGCGTGCGAAGATCTAGCCTAGCTGCAGCCGCAAGCTCACCGCCTCATGGCTTGCCCTCGTCGAGTTCATGCGAGCGGGGAGAAGAGTGGACACGGTCATTTACCCAGGTTCAGGCCATCTTATGGTGTAAACCCCTACTCTTGTTTGTGGTGGATTGCCTCGCGAGGAGGATGAGTATGAACTAGTACAAGTGGTGAACTGCCTCGTGAGGGCTCGAGGATCCCCCTCTCTATGGTGGAGACTAACCTTTATTTATACTAGCATTGGTCCTCTTCCCTCATAGCTTAGGCGGGAAGGGATTTCACAACAGCCAATTTGAAAGGGGACAGGAGTACACCCTATCCTGACTAAAGTTATTCTTCTTCTGCAAAGCTTCTGGTCGTGACGCAGTGGTGGGCTCGGCGATGACATCGGCCCTGTCGAGCTCGTGGTCTTGGTCTCGTTGCACAGGAATGGAAACCTTTGGGGGATTCCTCGAGAACCCGCGTACGTCCTTGCCTCCTTAACATGAAAGAGGAAACTGTCCCGAGTTGCGCCCGCTCGCATCCGCCTGGTCTTGGTCGTCATGACTCACGTCATCGCGCGCCTCGTGAGGTGAGGTACTTTCATAGAGATCTTTGCTCCTCGGGAGGCAGGCTCGAAAACTGCTCCTCGGGAGGTCTTGGTGTTGTTCTCCTAGCGAGGTAGGGGCCCTCGCGAGGGTCTTGTCCGTGAAGTCTTGTAGTTGGGACGTGCTGGGCCATCGAAGGAGCCACGTGTTGGGCCGTAGGCAGGCGGGCCTGGGTACCCCCGATCCCAGAACACCGACAATCTGCTCGGTAAGTAAATACCCAACAACCGAGCGCACAGAGGCACGAAGACTTCTGACACGTAGCAGATACTGGCAGCTCTTTTCCGAGTTTCTCGTCCACAAACGCCGGAGCGACCCGCCCTCCTGACCTTGGCTCTCTTGCCCTGACGCGCGGTCCTCGTTCATCGGCCGTTTCACTGGGCGCACGAACACCAGGTCTTCTCATCCATTCCACCGCAGCAAGCCCGTCTATAGCTGGCCAAATGGGCCGGGCCTGGCATGCCGACCCGCAAGCACGCTGGCACGACACGTGATGGGCCAGGCCCGACACGCTCTAATCGGGCCGTGCCAGGCATGCGGCCTGCCTTGGGCCATGCCTGGGCCTGAAGGC